ACGTTGTTGTTGTAGAATCAGGTGTAGCTCCTTCTGTAAAGCGCAGGCGGAAATGCACAATGCATGGTTTTCAGGAACCACAATTAGCAGGATCATGACCCCATGTGAGCGGTAGGGATGGATTGCGCAGTAAGGGGGTTTTGGGGGTTTTGGGTGGGGTTTTGGGGGGGTTTGTTTTACGGGGGGTTGGGGAAGTTTTGGGTTTTGGGGGGCCCTCTTTGCCTGCCCCCCCCCCACACACCCCCCAAAAAAAAAAAAACACCCGCAAAAACCCAGCCGAATCAGGCAGTTGTGGCTCGGCTTGTTGCTTTTGGGTGTACCGACCAGGTATCGACCTGGTTCCGCCTGGTTTTTTGTGGGTTTTTTGGCCGGGGCAAGCGGGGGGGGAGTTAAATATCACATTATGCATGGGGTCCTGCATTTCTGACTGGAACAGTGCTACGAACCTTGTATATTGCACCCAGCGCAGGCGACCGGAAGGTAGAGTGGGATGTCCCGCCTGCCTCCAAACCTCTTCATGGGGGATTCTAGAGTAGTAAGAAGCTTTGACGCCTATGGCTCGTCGAGCATCTATCCTGCGCAGCTGCGGTGTGGTCAGGGTAAGTGAATCTAGGCCGTAAAGAAGTACAGGGAGGAAGGTGGCTTGAAAAATTTTGACCTTAACTTTACGCTTGAGGGAACTGTTCCAAACTAGCTGAGCTTCTTGTACGCTTGTTCTGCGAGCTGTAGTCTATGAAGGCGGTCTCGAAGGGGGCCTTCCAGGAGATCTTACACCCTATATATTTGACTTGCGGTGTGGTCTTGACTAGCGTCCCGTCGCTGAACTGCACCGTTATTACAAAATCATGTTCATCCACCCCAGCTCTCAACTGCACAAGACATTCCCGTTGCGATTGCTTTCTTTTAACTCGATGAGGCGGTAGCACAGCCGATGCTAAAGAAACGTGATGGATCCCCGCCAGATCCAGGTAACCTGAACAAATCCTCCGCTACAAAATGAGAATCTGCACGGATTGATAACAAGTGCTCCCTTGAGGAACGAGCTGAAGCAAAAGAAAGTAGAGTAGTTCGTACACGCACCAAAGCACTCAGTTGCACCACGTGCGAAGGCCAGGAAAACACAGGAGCCCACAGCAGAAGGGGAAGGTAGTGAGACCGCGCGCCTCTGGGAGCTGCACTGCCAGGCATACACACTTGAAGTGACAACGAACGGCATACTGAAGGATGCACAACAGATACTGACTTGGAAGTGGAGGGTGGGTGCAAAATGCTGATCCCACATGATCTGCTGGTATCTCAGACTGGAGTGGCTTCACATGCACATAAAGTCACATCACTACAGGCCGAAACAAGAATTTTGTAACAACACATGTGAGTAAAACACACAAACCGTTATTACAAAATCATGTTCAGCCACCCCAGCTCTCAACTGCACAAGACATTCCCGTTGCGAACGCTTTATTTAACTCGATGTGGTGGTAGCACAGCGCTAAAGAAACGTGATGGATCCCCGCCAGATCCAGCTAACCTGAACAAATCCTCCAAGTTAAGAAACTACCACATCGAGGTAAAGAAAGCCAAACGCCGCTAGCAAAACCCCAACACTTAAGTGTTGGGCTTGATGAGAGAGCACATTCGTCTTTGGCAGCTGCCATTCAACTTGAAGTCTGCAGGCCAAAGGCACATCATGCTTGAAACTAAAGAAGCAAGGGCAGGGGGATGCGCAAACGACTGCACACGTCAGATGTGCTCCGGTGTTTCACTCGCTTGCTCGCACTTCTTCACATTGTGGTAAGACACTGTGCGCAACATTGACGTCTCAGCAGGCCTTGTTTGTCGTGCGACATGCCCATACATGCTGGGTCAGGGCTGCTCTCTACCGGGCGCGACCCCGCCTCTTCTAAAAAAGCAGAACCCCAATGATCCTGGGCCTTTGCGGGAACCTGGATCTTGTGCCTCATGGCTTTGCTACTCGACAGATCCGGCAGCTCCTGCGGGGTGCTGCGGTCAATCGCACTTACATCTGCCGCACCGGTCGCGTCAACTGGACTAAACATCACACGCCTGTTAGGCTCATGATGCTTTTCTCCTTCACCTAATCACCCTTTGCGACGGTCAGCAGGCAGTCCACGCTGCGCATAAGTCCCCGGCAATGCAAGCGGAAACCGCCATTGAAGTCAAGCCCTTCTTCCTTCCGCGTTGAAAATTGACCATCTTGCTGTTTGTTGACTAATCACACTTGCCAAGAAAAGACAAGAAACCTACAGTGGCAGAGGTTGCAGAAAACCTCTGCTACGAGCACCGTGGAACCTCAAGATATTTGCCTCTCTCACGGTTGGTTGACTGCAGCATGTGCGTTTTTCTTCACCTGCAGCTCCAAGATGCGCAGTGGACCCTGCTGCTGCTTACACCGCCAAAACGAGCGTGCCTGCGCATGTTTTTTTTTTTTCGTTGCCTGCGGCGACTGGGTTATCGCCGTGTTGTGTGCTGCACATGCTCGCGCGCGCGTCGTGTCTGCCCAGCTGCTCAAGCGAGAGTTTCTCATTCTTGTGTGCCCAGCATTCCCCTCGCCGCTGCCTGCGCCCTCCATGCCACTTAGATTTCTTGTCAGCGGCTCGTGGCACCAGACCTGAGCTCCCATAGAAGGAAGGCTTCGGCATTCTCCAGGGCACGAACATGGGAACGCAAGCACACGGCCTCAGAGGTGAGGCCTCGAAAGAAGCAATGCTGCCCTTGAACAACTTGAACCTGCCGCCTCGTGCCACAGCGCCAGAAGAAGGGTAGCTATGAAGCCAGGGGCGATCTCCCCTGCTGACAACGTCGGCACAGTGGCAGCAAGGCCACCTGTCGGCGACATGCGCTACATCAATCATGGACATCCTGATAAAGGCAAGCAAGCTCGGCAAGGAGCAGCGCCGAGTGAGCAGCAAAAGTCTGGAAACCAATGGCAGCGGTCAAAACTGCAAGCCGAAAAGTGTTGTGAGTTTGGCGGGGTCAACGCACACACGCCCAGCACAGCCACACCAGCCAGCGGACAGCATCGAAGTCCGTGAAATGCTGCAGACTGAACACGAAATTCCAAGGCCCCGACGCTTCGAGGAGCTGCGCGCAAGTCGTCACGAACAGGACGCCCGCGCCAGACGTGGCGGCGACCTGGCAGTGGATGGCTCTGTTCAGCCATGCGAGGCCCCGCACCCCTTTTCTGCCTGCTGCCTGGATATACGACCCAGCGCTGGCTGCAGGACAAGCTGAAACAGCTGGCACAGACTGCAAGATAGACACAGCAATGCAGCAAAGAAGCCTCAAGTCCGAAATCGACAGTCGAAGCCGCCGACAATGTCAGCAATCGCGGACAGAAGGAGCGTTCTGACAAAATCAAGCAAGCGTCACACACACTCCAGTCGCCTCTGGGAGCTGCACTGCCAGGCACACACACTTGAAGTGACAACGAACGGCATACTGAAGGATGCACAACAGATACTGACTTGGAAGTGGAGGGTGGGTGCAAAAATGCTGATCCCACATGATCTGCTGATATCTTTCATGCACATAAAGTCACAGGACTAAAGGCCGAAACAAGAATTTTATAACAACACATGTGATCAAAACACACAAACCGATATTACAAAATCATGTTCAGCCACCCCAGATCTCAACTGCACAAGACATTCCCGTTGCGAACGCTTTATTTAACTCGATGTGGTGGTAGCACAGCGCTAAAGAAACGTGATGGATCCCCGCCAGATCCAGCTAACCTGAACAAATCCTCCAAGTTAAGCAACTACCACATCAAGGTGAAGAAAGCCAAACGCCGCTAGCAAAAACCCAACACTTGAGTGTTGAACTTGATGAGAGAGCACATTCGTCTTTGGCAGCTGCCATTCAACTTGAAGTCTGCAGGCCAAAGGTACATGCCTCTTCTAAAAAAAGCAGAACCCCAATGAAGGCGGACGTTCTATGAACTTCTAGACACTCTTCTTTTGCCGAAAAGTCTTGACACCGTTCAAGAGCTTCCAAAGGTTCTCCAAGACGTTGGTTCCAGTCAAAGCTACCCAAGCTTCAACTAAGCAAGCAAAGCTGGCACTCGGACACTTTCCTTTTCTCACTCTCGCCTTGAGCCAAACAAGTCCAGTTCTTCTGAGCTCATGCTGCTGGCAAGAAACTGTACGTGAGTCCTACTTCACAGACAAACAAAAAAGCAAGGTCATGCAAACGTTCCCCTCAGAGTCTTCTGCATACTAAGCGCAACCAAGTGCATCTCAGGACACACTCAAAGGTCCAGGTGCTTCACACCTTATTCTCATCACTGAGGAACTTCTCGACCAAGCTCAAATTCACAAAACTCAAGGTAAAAACTCAAGCATGCTCCAAAACACTCATGCTCACAAAACATGTTCTCCACATGTCTTCGACATGCATCCAAACATGCCAGTGCAACTCAACAACAAAACTCCTGCAAGGTTCTTCTCGAAACTGAGTGTGTGCCGCTTCTGTTCGTCAAAACCGAAAACAAGAAAAACCAACCACCAAGCAAACGACGTCTCGGCTCCATTGGTGATGAAATTCTTTACCCCCTCTTGGAGGCGAGCGTACGAAGTTTGCGTTGGCAATCCCGGCAGACCACGTATGTCTTCTTGTCCCGAAAACGCAGATGTCCACAAGACTCATCCACGTGGGCCACTTCACTCTTTGCAATGAAGTACACATTCGGAATTTCAAAGGCAACTGTCCGCGGTTTGCTCGGGCTCTTGTCTGAAGCACTCGCGTGACTGCTACTGTTGACGAGGTGACCATCACGGTTCTTCCCATCATAGTAACAGTTACAACAGCGGCAACACATGTGGACTGCAACATTCACAAGGATGCTCACAGTAAGGAAGACTCCGAAGAGGAGGATCTCCACTGTGTAGTCAGTCTCACTCATTGCTTCGCAGGAAATTAAGAAAACGAAAAGAACAACACCCCCTCTCGGCAAAGCGGCTGAGGGTGCGGGCGAGAGCTCATGGCAAGCACGCAACCAATCGTCTGCACAAGTCAAGCGGATAGTGTTGAGTGCTCTTAAGGTCGAAATCGGCACTGTGGGGATGGTCCTTTGTGCATGCAAATGTCTGGAGGGTCTCGCAGAGAACCTTAAGGTCTGTATCAACTCTCCACTGCTTCTTCACAAGCAAGTTGTCTCGTCCTCTCATCTCTACTGCACAACCATGCACTATGGAGGTCATGAGAGTCCTGTGGTGGTCGAATCCAAACTTCTTGGTGGTCCTCCAATGCCAGTACTGACAGGTCTTCGGCCACTCGATCGCAACGAACGGATTCAAACATCCCACAGGCATGTCTTCAACCGGCTTGCAGATAACCTCAAAGTTCTTCCACAACTTTCTCTGGACGCCCCAAACTTTCTTCAAGTAATCTCCATGCCCAGGCCGCTCCAAATGTGTAAACTGCCAAAGACATCCACCAGTGCACGGTGTGGATGACCAAATCAGCACGTTTACGCCCAACCGACACAAGCGCTCAACGTGTGTTCTCACAATGGCAATCGTCTCATCCAACACTCCGTTCTCACGCTCCGTGATTCTAACCAACTTCACGCTTCCAAGCTCAAGCGCTGCAATGCCAAGATTCGAGTTTTCACTCGTACAAAACTCGACAATCAACCAATGAGCTTCCGCACTCACCGCACTCAAGTTCTGTTCCAGCTCCAAGAGAACTGGAAGATCAGGGCTCTTCCCGAGCATGCGGCACAACTGGGCGCAATCCCAGTCCTCCAACGCCAACAAACCCATGGTGGCTGGCGGAAGTCGCTCAACGATTCCCAACATGTTCAGGTGTCTCTCGTAACTGACCTTTTGGATCGTACTCTTTGTAAAAATGTCTGAGACATTCTCCAAGCCAGACACCCACTCAAGCTTAGCGCGGCCCTCACGCAGCGCTTCTTGTACCCAGCACAACCTGATGTCTATGTGCCTGACTCTCCTGAGGAGTCCGAACATAGAACTGATGTTAATGGCTGCCTGTGAGTCCGAGCGAACAACCGGCGTTTCAACATCTTTCCCAAAGACGTGTCTCACCATGACGCACAATCCCAAGGCCTCTTTCATTCCCTCGCAGATAGCGGTTAACTCCGCTTCCGCGCTGGACAGCGCAATTGAAGTCTGCTGCCTGGTGTAAGCCTTCACCGGGGCCCCGTCGAGAAACAACACGCCTCCAGACAACGACCGCCGAGAGTTATTTCTCTCAGACGCCCAGTTGCTATCAACGTACACAACGATGGTCCCAGCATCTCCATCACAACTGAGAAGCTGCTCATGGTGCTCAACCGACATCAAGTACCTCAAGAACGCTCGCAGGCACATCTCATGGACAGCTAGGGGCTGCGACTGGCCCCTGCTCAACACACTGATGAAGTACGTCAAGTCAATCCGTGTCTGGGCGCCCCAGGCGACCTTGCCGACTGCGCTCCTATACTTCGCACTAGCTTCTGCACTCAAAGGCTGTTGTTGGGACTCCATTCCATCATCCAGGATCTTCCTCAAGTCCGGGGGAACCAGACTCGGCTTCCGGATGCCATAGGCTTCATATGTCGAGTGGAAATACCCCACAGGGAGGCCAACAAGGATTCCATCCGTCTCACTGTCTCTCCGGATGGTCCTGCCAAGGAATTCAACTTTCTTGTCTCTGGACAGGATTCCAGTGACTTTAATCTTGACCTGCTTGGCTAGACATTCAACAAAGTGCTTAGCTGCTGGCAGGAAACGACAACCAACCATGAGATCATCAACATACGCAAGGAGGACCATGTAGTAATGTGTTCCATCAAACAAAAACCATCCAGCAAAGACGGTCTTTTCGGTCTCACACGCAAACAGCCCCAACTCTTCGACCAACTCGGCAAGCATCTTATACCAAGCCAACGATGCTGATCTTAGCCCATACAGGCTCTTGTTGAGCTTCATGTAGGCTCTGGAGTTGTCTGGGAACCGAATGTTTGTGGGCAACATCACAACTTCAGGACTCACCACCTTAGCGAACAAAAAGGCCGTACTAACGTCCGCAAGGATAATATCGCTTCCGCTGGATGCAATGAACACTAGGAAGGTCCTGAAGGCCTCGTTGGAAGAGGTCGGCGAGCTGATCCCCAGCTCCTGCGCAGTTGGATTGCCTGAGGCATAGTCGCGAACTACGACCCTCGACCTGACAATTTTCTGCTTTGTTTCACCTTCCTTCTTGTCAACAGACACCCAACGCGTGGTGAGGATGCGGATGTTGTGCTCCTTAGCGTACTCGTCCGCCTCCTGCTTTGTCACTAGATCACCTACATTCAAGGCATCAAGGGCTTTCACTTCTTTCGTCATCCCCTCAGCGGTGAGCTGTGGATCCAACGGCTTTCCGGTCGTGTCGTCCTTAACAAACTTGGGCCGCTGCAAGCACACCTTTCTGCCTCGAATCTCCAGATCGATCCAGCTTTCGTCCTCTACTGCGTTGTAGACACTCGTTCTGAAAAACACACTGGCAACGACTGATGTGATTGCGTCCTCGGATGCGAATGACAGCTTCTGAGGTTCAGGCGTCTCAACGAACCTATCCATCATCTCTACGTCCTCGACTCCTGGATCGGATCTAGGGTCCTCAGACGGTCCTGGAGATTCTGGCAACCAAGCTGGCAAGGCTTCACGTTCAAGCTCGGGCTGAAAGGGTTCTTCACTATCGCAACCAACACCCCCTCTAGGCTCATAGTCCTCATCTCTCGGGACGTCGGCCTCGATTCTCTCAAGGTCATCGGGAACGTCAAGCTCAACTTCTGGCATTCCACCGTCATGCTGCACGTCACCTACTCCCTGAGGGGACTCAAGCGGTCTTGGAGGCTCATTGGGCTGCATCTCACCTTTCAACCAAGCTTGATACCTACGTCTGCAGGTCCTACTGTGATTCACGGCGTGTGTAGAACCCCTCTGGCATGCTGTACACCTTCGTGTGGCTCCATGCTCTGCAAAGAACTCGGCTGGCGGATTCCCACCGGGCACGAGCGACAACGGAACGGTCCTCAAGTTGGGGTCCTCAGGGTCTCCAAGTGGCTGCGGCGCAGGGTGCACGCCGCCAACAACCTTTCGACCAAACGTTCCAAGCAACTCAACGTCATACCTCAGAGGCACAACAACTTTGATGGAACTGGCTTGCACCAGCTTTAAGGCTCCATCCGGCAACCTCACATTTACAAGGTGTGATGTCTTGCTCATCATGGGTCCAAGGTAGCAACCAAATGCAAAGCGACCAACAATCAAGTCTTCAACTGCCGACGCATGCGCACAAACGGTCGAACCAAACGCGTACACCTGATGGGGCTTGTGCTTGTTCCCTCTCAAACGCTGCAAAGGAGAAAGTTCAGACCCAGCCAACTGCGAGTATCGGTTGTGGACATGGCAACAGTGGTTGTAGAGCAACGCAAACGCACGACTCGTACTCCGAAGCGACACCCCGTGATCCTGCAACTCAACCAAGATAGAATCACCAAGCTCACGCAGGGTCCTCACCGCTCTCTCTGCCGCGGGCGCATGACGCCCTGGGCTGAACTGCTCAATCGGACCATGCAAACTCTGGAATCGCTCAAGCAACTCAACCAACAAGGCACGCATGTAAGGTTCTGCATCGCAACGAAACACGGTCCCAACTTCAACGCCACTCAAGCCAAAGTACCTCAACCATGCTCCCATGTTCTCAAGGATCTGATCCCTAGATGCTTCGCCATCAACACAACCAACTGCAAACGACTGGGCATGAACCAACACAATGAAACGCTTCTGAAACTTGAAAAAATGATCGATCTGCACCTCATGCTTCATGACCTGGTCCCGTGGCCTCTCGCGAGCTCCTTTGGGCAAACTTCGAGACCTGACACAGACGTCACAAGAGGAACTGAAGGGCTGATGTCCTTGCAACACGTGACTGATCTTGTCAAAGTCAACAACTTCACGGTCTTTCAAGATCCACCAAACATCATGCTCACTCTCTCCTTCCCCTCTCTCAGTCTCTTCACCCTCATCTCCCAAGCTTGCAAGCACTTCAACCAAGTCACAAAGATCAACCATGCAACGCTCGTTTCTCTTTTCGGTTCCAGTAGAGCACAAGGCCTCCCAAGCAGCCTTAATGCCTGGTTTCTGAGGTGAAAACGTGTCTCTGTTCACGGCACCGGCGGGGGCTTTGGTAGCCCTGAGGGCCAAGACCTGTTCTCGGGCCTTCGGCTGGGAACAGGCGGAGGTGGAGGCGGATTCCACAGCTCTTCCCTGATCGGCTCCGGCGGTGGCGGTGCAGGGCATCTCGTTGAGCGCTCCGTCCTTGCCACCAGGTGCACCGTCGACGAGCTGCTCGTGGCTTGCTCCTTCTTCTGCTTGCTTCCTCGCTTCACGCTGCCCTTCCAGGTCTTTGCCGGCATTGCCTTCACTTGTGGTCTCTTCTTCGGCATCGCCTTGACTGTGGGTCTCAAGACCTTTGGCATGGCTTTCGTAGCTGGCTTCGGCTTGGGGTCCGCCTTCCAGGCTTCGAAACTCCTCGCCATGCGCTCCACGCCCTCCACCGCGATCTCGGCCGCAGCTGCGACCTGTGTTCTCAGATCCTCCAGCCTGGCCATCTCCACATCGTGGATCTCGCCCTCGCTCACCACGCTCCAGGCCTTCGCAGCTGGCTCCTCTGAGCTCACGTCGCAGACATCCGAAACCTTCTGGGGCTCGCTGCTGTCCGCTTCCTGCTTCTCCGAGGCCTTCTGGGGCACGTTCTTCTCGTCCTTGTCCTCGGAGGCCTTCTGGTGGTCCCCGTGGTTCTCCTCCTCGGAGCTGGAGCTGAGCGGCACCCGCGACCCCATGCGGTCTTCGAGTGGTCTCAAGAGACCGTGTCACCAGCCAACCAACGTTGCTAAACCAACAAGTGTACAGCTGACAACGACTGCGGCGCACACTCAAACCCTCAGAATTGATATTTATCGTCCAACCTTTGGTTGCAAGGGAACCTAAGGAAAGCAAACTGTGCTCGCACTCTGTCACAAGACCACGCAGCTCAGCACACACAAGCCTACCTTCTACTGTCAAAAATTGGGCTCTTACTGTTACTCTACGGTTCAGGCTCAGCACTTCACCAGACGCCAAAGAGCAGCGCACCTGGTACTCATCCTCAGCGACCACGGCGACGTGGCCACTATCAAGCAGCCGCTGCGCAATCAAGTGAATGCTTGCTCCACTGTCTGCCAACCAAAGATGATCACACAAGCTCTGGTCTTCAGGGTTCTCTGTTCTTCGAACTGCACGACTAAACACGCTGTTCACGACCATGCTTTCGGGAACTTGGGGTCCATGCAAAGCGCAAAACCAACCATGATCATCCCCGTGTTCTTCGTGTCGTTCAAGCCCATGCAAAACATCAAGACAATCATGCCGCTCAAGAAAAACTTCTTCGCCATGCTGGAGACAACCATGTTCTTCAGAAAAACCATGCCCTTCGGGAAAACCATGCTCTTCAGGAAAACCATGTTCTTCGGGAAAACCATGCTCTTCAGGAAAACCATGTTCTTCGGGAAAAACGTCACGCGGAAGTTGCAAAACTGGTCGCTCAGGTAGCACTTCCACCAAGCCCATCGTCACACTTGGCTTCGGCGCCCCCTTTGCTTTAGGCTGGCCAGATGCACCCGAAGGCTTGTCTTTCCGTGGTTCTGGGCAATCTCGAGCAAAGTGCCCCGGCTGCCCGCAGTTGAAACATTTCCCCTTCTTTCCCTCGCTCTGGGCTTTCGGCTTGTCGTCTCTTTTTCCTTTGCCTCGACCAGCACCCTTCTCTGAGGTGCCCTCGTTCTTGCCGCCTTTCTTCCCTTTCCCTTTGCCCTTCTTGCCTTTGCCCTTGTTGAAAGCTGCAATCAACTCTTCAGTCCAAGCGCTCCTCGACGAATGCTTGTGGCCTTCCTTGTCATGCTCGATCACACGCAGATGAGAGTCGTAAAACTTGATGCTCTCCAGGATCTCATTCAGCGTGTCGCTCTTTCCATGCAACAAAACGTAATGCTTGCAGGACTCGGGCATGCACTTCAAGTGAAGCATCATCTTCTCAGGTTCTGTCAAACGAAGACTGCTGTAGCCACTAAGATTTCTATCCGCCTTCAAGAGCTCGGACTCTACTGCTCTGTAGACGTCCAAGGGCCGCACCACATGTTTCCCTGGGCGAAATTGCAAAACAGCTTCACGAAGAGATGTTGCTTCAATTCTCGACTGAACTCCAAACTCCGTGTTCAGTCTCCGAAAGGCTTCGTACCCACATGCTGCTCCAAGCTGTGACTGTTCCGCTTGTCGAACGATGTCTAAAGCTCGTTGGAAATCACCCAAAGACTGACGCAGCAAGTGAAGAAATCTCGCAGACCTCGCCGCAGGTCCCTTCTCCAAACTGCTCTGTTGAATCTCGGTGGGGGTGATCATCGCTCGGTACAACTCAGTGGGGTAAAAGTCGTCAAGCAAAGACAACCAAGACATGACTCCCTCAACGTACTGCGACCAAAAACTGATCTCTGAAGTTCGAGTCGTCATCTTCTGATACTCAAGCATAGGGATCTTGGGAATGTAGCTCTCTGCTTTGGAGTGTCTGACTCCACCAGTGTCCTTGTCCACTTCCATAGGCTCTGGGCCCGTTGAGGACGCTGCTGCTGCCATTCCGCTGCTTGTCTCAGCAGCTCGTGTCAAAGCCGCTGCTTGCATCTCTCCCAACGTCTGCACCAAACCAACCAACTGGCTAATCTGCTGCGACTGCGCCTGCACCATCTGCACTGCCATTTGTGGGTCCAGAGCAGGTGGTTGTGGAGGCATTCCTGGATTCACTTGGGCTCCTGTTGGAGCTTGTGGAGGTTGTCCAACGCTTCCTCCAGTGTAACCACTTGCCTGTCGAGTCGGAAGAGGCAACACAAGAGGCGTCACCACTTGCCGCGGTCTCCTGAGAGGTGAGCTGGACTGAGCACCTGGCCTCGAACACTCACCAAACTAGGGCTTCTTCCAGAATGCGTGGGCGTCTCTCCAGGAACTCGGCTTCTTCCTCGTGGGCTCCTTCTTCTCTCTCGGGAGTGCAAGCTGGAAATGTCGGACATTCACCTTCACAGCTCTGAAGCGTGGCCAACCACGCTCCGCCACCACGAAAAGTCTTAACACCGTTCAAGAGCTTCCAAAGGTTCTCCAAGACGTTGGTTCCAGTCAAAGCTACCCAAGCTTCAACTAAGCAAGCAAAGCTGGCACTCGGACACTTTTCTTTTCTCACTCTCGCCTTGAGCCAAACAAGTCCAGTTCTTCTGAGCTCATGCTGCTGGCAAGAAACTGTACGTGAGTCCTACTTCACAGACAAACAAAAAAGCAAGGTCATGCAAACGTTCCCCTCAGAGTCTTCTGCATACTAAGCGCAACCAAGTGCATCTCAGGACACACTCAAAGGTCCAGGTGCTTCACACCTTATTCTCATCACTGAGGAACTTCTCGACCAAGCTCAAATTCACAAAACTCAAGGTAAAAACTCAAGCATGCTCCAAAACACTCATGCTCACAAAACATGTTCTCCACATGTCTTCGACATGCATCCAAACATGCCAGTGCAACTCAACAACAAAACTCCTGCAAGGTTCTTCTCGAAACTGAGTGTGTGCCGCTTCTGTTCGTCAAAACCGAAAACAAGAAAAACCAACCACCAAGCAAACGACGTCTCGGCTCCATTGGTGATGAAATTCTTTATTTGCGCAAAAGTTTTTGCTGCAAAAAAAACATTTCCCAAGAATCTTTTGGGCTGTTGCTTTGTTGTCCACTTTTCGCAACTCCGCCTTTCTCTCACAATTGGTGCCCACTGGAAAGCTCCAGAAGCTCAGGCCAGGCTGTTTTGCAACCTGTAGAAAACGTTTCTCCCGGGTCTTCTTCGCTATGCTTCCAAGTGGACTTGTGGCGCACTCTTGCATCGTGCTGCGAAGATTGACATAAAGATGCTTTGGCCCGGTACAATTGGAACTTGGAGCGCTTAAGTTCTGGACCTGCTTAAACTTTGGGCAGGCGCAAATTTGCTGGATTGCTTGCGTGCATTGATCTTCTTTTGCTTGGATATTCAAGAACTCCAACCTGCCAGGTTTCTGGCCATGGCGTAATGTGGAGATGCGGACTGCCTTGGAGGGCTGCTACTTGCCTTTATGTGCGCATCAACATCAGGATTGAGAAGGAAGGCAGACTATGGACCTTCACGCGGTAGCACTGTTAGCAAGCAGAGAGCGCATCTTCGGCGTTTTCAGGTCACTGCGCATGTAGGGCAAGAAGCCTTGCCACACCAGCAACGAGGGAATATGATGCTGCAAGCCAGCTGCGTTTCAAATGCTGAGAGTCAAGAGAATCCACTGCCCACATACTGGTTTTTTAGACCGTGTGCGTTTCCGTGTTTGTGCTCTGGAGAACGCCAAAGGCTTCTTCTGTAGGGCACATTGCGCAACATAACCTTTTCTCCGTTTCTAAGGGCGAATTTGATTGGCTGATTTGTGTTCTTAATGTTAAGATGGGTTGGTGAACAAGCAGTTTGGCAAGTAAAAGCGCATCTTGGAGCTGTTGCAAAACAAAAACGCAGATGCTGCAGTCAACAACTGTGAGAGAGAAAATCTTCGTTCTTCCGCAACCTCTGCCACTGTGGAACTTGACTTCATTGCTGACGGTGCACAGATCCAAGATTCCACTTAAGCAGCTACCAGTAGGACTGTCAGTGCAGGTTCAGAGACAATGGAAAAAGTTCATCTGGATTCCGTTCCTTTGACGAAGAGGGTTCGAAGCCTTCAAAGTCTTTGAGGTGAAGGTCTAGGCTTCGAAGGCTTCGAAGGCTCGAAGGCTTCGAAGGTCAGGACGAAGGCGAAGGCTTCGAAGAGCTTCAAAGGCGTCGAAGTTCACGCTTAAGCTGATTGACACCATCTGCGAAACTCAATCCTTGCTCCAAAACAATGCAATTCCAACGCCCCTTTGCGCTTCTGTTTGCACGTTACCCGTCCGGGTGCAGCAGTTTTGTAGCAGGTTCAAGGAGCATTGCTTCTTTCAGATCTGACCTCTCGTCAGGTGTGAAATCTTGGTAAAGTGATCCAAGTGTGTATACAAAGTCATTATACAACATCGGGCGTGGTTGCTAAGATGGCGGAAGGCGGAGAAGCACTTGTCGCGTCGTGTCTGCTGAGTGTGTACCTTCCACGTTTGAGCACAATGTCTTCCTTCAATGTGTCTCTGCAGATCGCCCCATGAACCAAAAGCATGACTGCAGTGCGCACACGTAGGTAGAATGCCGCCATTTATCAAAAGACTGCCTGTGTGCAAGGATGCCTGATGTTGTTCGTTGTGGTGATGTTTAAGAGCCTGAAGAGTCCCAAAAGAGAGAAAGCAAAAAAGCACACACCAACGCCGCTGCCGTCAGACCATCGGCCTGCACGATGTCTCCATCATAAAAGGTGCCTTCAGTAGCTTTCGCGGCATTTGCACTTGCCTGAGGCGATGCTTCATGGTTGCCATTTCGTATCCTCCAAAAGATATTTTGACGCCTAGATATGGCACCTCTCGGCGCACTGGGAAGAGGACTTCATGATTGCCCGGCATAGACAAGTGGAAAAAGGGATGTCCTTGTCTGTCAAGTTTGACGCGTGCCCGCCATTGCTTCGCTCGATATCCCTTGACAGCTATCACCATCTTAGACTCAGCGGCGTTAGTTTTTCAATCCAAGGGACTGCAGCGTAGAACAACCTGCTGTAGTTGATCTGTGATTTTCCACAGGCAAGTATTGGCACCTCATTCACCCAAAGCACGGCCTATGGACACGCGCAGCAGTTCCTCGGAAGAAGCTACCACTAAGACCAAGGTGCAGGTTTGGAACTGGCGCTTGTTAGAGCTTCTTTGAAGCTCTAATGGTTCTGCGTGGAGGCGTCGTCGCGAGGATGTGGCGACCGGTAACACACACGCCTGGCAGTTGACGTGATCATAATGGTGATTTTGATTTCTGGCAACCTACCCGCATTTTGCGATCTCCCCCTGCGCAGCACGATGCAAGAGTGCAACTATAGGTCTACATCGACTTCTTCGTGCTCTGAGAGAGGGGAATGTTTCACCGCTAGATTGGTTTTGTCGTTGTTTTGTGTTGTCCTGGTTGTTCTTGTTTGTTGTGCGCCTGGCTTTGGATAGTTCTGCTCGTCTCACCTTGTCGCAAGAGACCGGCCCACTGTGCTGCTGATATGGTAAAGGGGCGCCGCTTGAAAAAAACAATTATGGGAGCTTTAAACTACGGACCTAGCCTTGCTACGGGAAGTGGACCTGTGCGTCCCGTTCAGAATACCGTCCATCCGTAGCCCCATTGGAGGAACTATGTTGCTGTCTACAGTCGTTGATCTTCTTCCCAAGGCAATTACTGGCATTTTTGTTGAAGTGCAACTTGCACCAGCCGCCGTTGAAAGCTCCTTTGTTTGCGTTCGCAGAAGCAGCTTGGCCCTTATGGGAAGCCCAGTGCGCAGTGATGGTGTCGTACCACTCAGCCCAAGCCTGCATCGCTTGTAGCGATAAAGCAGTTCCCTTTCGAGACCGAAGAACACAAGACAGCAACTCTTTATGAGTTAAGGAGGCGATTAAGTCAGTGTGGCGACCGGCGACAACGAAGCTAGTGGACCTGAGGACAGTGCAAGTCCCTGCTAGCATCCCCCTCTGGGGGGGGAGCCCGAAGAGATCTTTGAGGAGGCCACGGAGATAGAGGACACCTCCCCACAAGGGGAGGTGCCGTCCGGCACCTCGCCCTGGCTAACCAATGTTTCTTTGTCCTCTGCATGGAGGCACTCTTACTGGGATGCGGTGATTGGCAAAGCACGCGCGTGGCAGTAGACGATTGCCGTTTCTGTTGGCGCGTACTGCGAGTGCTGGTCGTGGCAATGTTCTCCATATGTGGAGCTTTTCGAGAAGTGGATGGTGGTTTTGATTTCTGGCTATGCGCCCGCATTTTGCGGCCTCCCCTCCTACGCGGCATGATGCAAGAGTGCAACTATGGGTCTACGATGGTCTACATCGACTTCTTCGTGCTCTGAGAGAGGGGAATGTTTCACTGCTAGATGACTTTTGCCGTGGTGTTGTGTTGTCTTGGTTCTTTTTCGTGGTGCTGCGCCTGGCTCTTGGATAGCTTTGTTCGTTTCACTTCGTCGCAATAGACCGGCCCACTGTGCTGCTGATGTGGTAAAGGGGCGTCCGCTTAAAAGAAAACTCCCTCGACATTTGATTGCCGGGGTCAAGGCCAAACCCTGACCCCGCATTGTGTTTCGGCTGGGGGGGACATTGAGCTGTGTGTCTTCAAGGTTACCTGTGCGGCGCGGGGCTTCTCCGAGTTCCCTGGCGAACCCACCACAACCGGCAGCTCGATGAATGGCTGGCAGGGTCGTCTTGCAGGCATTGGATTGCGATCACCAAGAGTGCGTTCAGAGTAGAAGAGGGGCATTTGCTGACATTCGCTTTGTTTGGCAAGGAAAAAGTGAGAGGTCACCGGCGAGAAAAGGTCTTGGCCGCGCGCGCGAACAGTTTGGGCAAGGTCGGGCTGCTGCTGGCAATCGCGAGCGCTGGTAATGTTGGCGGGCACAGGCTAGCCTTGCTCAGAGGAAGCAAGGTCAGAAGCCCATTGCATAGCTGTGAGCTGTGTTTGACAGTAAAGGGATCAGAGTGTTGAACGAGAAAGCTCGAAAAAGTTCCTGAGTCTTTGTGCGTGCAAAAAAGAGCCTCGCGTTTTTGGAGTCGATTCCTGCGAGTGGTCAGGCTGTGGTTGAGTCTTTGGCCAGTCAGGTAGGTTCAGAGAAGGTTTCGATTTTGAAGTGGTGTTTGGTCTTGTAGCGACAGTGCGCAAGCACCGACAACATGCCGTCAACCTCAAAGCTATGGCTACGGCTACCGCGACTCCCAGGCTGTGGCCACACAGAATTACAGTGATACCACCCTCCGTCGTCTGGGCTTAGGGATCAGGACTTAATCTGACCGGCTCAATCTTAGTAAACTTGCGTTCTGGCGCGTCGCGTCCGTCGTTGTGGAGTGAGGCGCGCGCCGAAAACGTTGGCCAGCGTCTGGAAATCGTCGCTTCCACAGACAACATGTACAGTGATCCTTTGTTCACGCATTTTGTGGGGCGGGTCGTTTTGGCGACTTTCCGCAAGCCCACGTTTCACTCAGCACTCAGCATTCTCGTTGATTCTGGTGCCCCGTTTCGGGGAGGGCGAGGGAGGGGGCAGGGAGGGAGGGGCGAGGGGTTTCCGGGGAAGAATTGCCAAGTAGCATGACGCGCACGCCAACAGCTCGCGGACGCTGACCATTGCGGCATGAGTCTCACAGCAGAATCAGCCGCAGCATCCAAGCCCAGAACCTGGGGTCGGAAACGAAAATAGTGGGGTAAGTTCGGCTGCCCTGTTAGTCTCCGACACTTCATCGTTTTCAAGCTTTGTTTTGTCAATTGCCTGGGTAGACGTGCGCCTTCTGCATCCTTCCTTCGGCCTTCCGCCAGCCCATCTCGGCTATTTTGGTCACTATCACAGTCTCGCTGTAGTACACGTGCGGTAATGCGGTGCCGTAGGGAAAAAGTGTGTGTGTGTGTGTGCGCAACTGTTGCACATGCAGGAGTGGGGTCGAGTCCACATGAGCCGATTCTATCTACATATGGCATGTGCATGAACTCCTTTCATTGCAGCGAGGGGCACCTTGGCCTTTGAAAAGTTGGCCTTTCAAAATGTTCTGCAGCACAGGGAGCATCGCACACGAAGACCATTATATCTTCTAACACAGTAGGAGCCATGGCTGCTGAGCACGTGTACCAGCCAGTTGGTGATCCGCCTCGGGGCTTCCAAGCCAGAGCGGATTACCCCGAGCCACTTCGGGTCTATGAGACCAGAGGAGCGTTGTGTGTGAGTTTCCAGCCAAGGTTCAGGTTTAGGCTTGAAGGTTTAGGGGTTGAGTTTGCACTTTTTGAAAAAATTTGAAACGAGGATGCGAAAAGAGGCATGCATGCATCTCAGGGGCTGAGGGGTTGGACTCATTGAAGGCGTTGATTTGAGGTTCCAAGGTAAATGGGACAGATGTTTCGGGGGCTTTGTGAAATCTTGCACACTCAAGCCAGCCCAAACTGCGGTCCCGAAAACTCGCACAAATCTCACATGTCCAAGGCATCCGAGGCCCAACTTGACCTGCAACTTGAAGCTTGTCTGCTGCAACCGTTTGCAATCTGACTGCGGTTGCTTGGCCGTAGGTCTGGTTGTGACAACGCTGTAAGGCTGTAAGGGTTGTCACATTTCGGGCGGCGTGAGGGCGTCGCTTTCAACATCATGATGGCTTTTGGAGAAGGCACAACCTCCTAAGACCCCTGAGACGAGTTGAACACTGTGTATGTATGTATATATATACACACGTATATATAAAACAGGGAATATAACTTATAAAAATAGAGAACATAACTGTTTACATTATTATATATATTTTCTTGTATGAGAATCTCGTCGATTCTGCGAGGAAGCCTGGCCGAGCGCTGTGACTGCACGGAGGCACTCCGAAACCTGGGCCCGGCGATGGGCATCCTGGCCTCCGCGGCAGTCCCTTGGGCCTTCTCTTCGGGGTTTTTTTGGGGTTTCTTGGGGTTTTGGGGGGTTTAGGGGGTTTTGGGTTTAGGGTTTGGGGGTTTGGGGGTTTAGGGTTTAGGGGATTTGGGGGTTTTGGGTTTGGGAGGTTGGGGGGATGTTGGGAGGGCTTCAGGGTCTGAGTCAGGGGAGTTTGGGTGTGAATTCGAGACAGTCCTTGGCCGAGTCGTGCTCAAATGTCACCCTTCTTCGGATTGTGGGCCTTGAGGATTCCTTGCAGTTGCAAGCCTTGAGGCTGAGGGAGGGCTTCTGTGAGGGTGCGCGTGATTCCGGGCAAAGCCTGCTCGTAAGTATACAAGGCTGTTGTTGTTCTAAGAGGCTGCTAGCAGAAGGCTTTGGTAGCAGATCCACTGTAACCTCGAACTCACAGCCCCGATTCAAGGAACTGTACCTGAAGCCCTATACTGCTGAGGCGCTGACCATTATCGTGCCGGCGCTGCTTTCCTTGGCGCGCCCAGTGAGCCCCGTCCTCCAGGCCGGGGTTTAGAGGGCCGGCGTGGGAGCGCCTTTGGCAAGAGGAATGGGAGAAGGTTCAAAGGCAACCTAGGTCAGCTTGTTTGTTTTTGAGGGTGTCTATTGTTGGGGTTGCGTGCTTGGCACGTGGAAAGGGTTAGTTTTGAGGGTTTCAGGGTGGCTTAGGATCGTTGGAGTGGGTTTGTCAAGCTTAGACCCTGGTTGTTGCTGGGCTTTTGTGCTTCCACTGCTGCGGGATCCTGATGCTAGGGGACTTTGATAGGAAGCTTCATGGGCTGGACCACGTTGCGAACCCTGGACCTGAGCATCTTTGCCAGACCCATACGACGACGCGGCCGACTACAACCACAAGCCGCGAGCTTGCCATATCAGTTAAGCTTTGATTCCGATTGCTGATTGATTTGCTGTTAGTTGCTACATTGAAGATATGGCACATCCGTTGATAGGGAGCTCTTTCAGGCTTTGCACCTACTGGGGCGTCTGTGAGCCTGAAGCAGCCCTAGTTCGATGTGGCAAATTAAGGGGTTTGGGTTCCCGGCTTTTGCAGACTGACTTGGTTTCATTTTCAATGGCTTTCAGTGCCTTCCGTGGCTTTCAATGGCTTTCAGTGGCGTGCAGTGCGGAAGCTGAGCTCGACTGAATGCGCGGAGTGCGACAGAACGCGACTGAACGCTTTACGCATGACTGAAAGAAAGCTCGAACGCACGCCGCACGCCCCGGTATGTGACTGAGCACATTGAAAGCAACTGAACGCACTGAGCGTGACTGAACAACTGAACACACCCAACCTGAACACGACTGCACGCACTCAACGCGACCGAGCGCACTGATTGCACGGAACCCGACTGAACGCGATCCAATGCTCCGGGGGCACAACTGCAAGAACTTCATGTCTTAGGAGCTCCACCGAATGACTGAACGGACTGAACACATTCGAAGCTCCACCGAGCGACAGAATGCATTGAATTACGAAACGCCACTCAGAACGATTGAACGCACTGACTGAATGCATTGAATGCACTGAATGCTCGCGAACGACTGAAAGCACTGAACGGTCCAGGGGGATCTGCTGAAACTGAATGCAAGTGAAGCACCCAAACGACGCACGCCCCGAATTCGAAATCTCCTGCAGATCAGAGTTCCGCAGATGACGAAAACGGATTTCAAGCCCACATATGAAGCACACTCCACAAGCCCTGAAAGCAATGTGTGGTATCAAGGGATGTGTGGCACAGGCATAACCACTTTGCCCACCACCACCTTCAGCCGGAGCCCTGAGACCCGTTGAGAGCACTCAGGGTCCTTTGCAGATCTGCGATTCAAGGGGTAAGGCTCTGAGTAGTGTTTGGGGCAAACAGTTTCGTCCCCAAGAGTCAGGCTTGCGCATTCGGGCCGTACAAAGAAGGGAAGTGGCTACCCAGCGCCCCATTGGAAGGGTTTACAGTGAACACGCCTTGGTGTGCTGCAGGGTTGAGAGAACTGTCTTTGCAGGTCGTGCAATTCTGCACGGCCCCACAACAACGACCAGCTTGTCGTCCCTTGATGTGGTGCTTCCCGTCGCGTGTTGCTTTGTAGCTTCGGACCTTTTCTGCACCCGCTGACAATGAGGGGCCTGGTTACGGTGGCACGGCTTTGCAGCTCCAGAGCCCAACAAACCCTCTTGAAGCATCAAGAAGACATCATCTCTCAACCCTCATCCCTACATTCCGGTCTGAACGCCTCTGCACGCCTTGAGAGGCTCAAGGGCCTGTCAAGGGGACAGGGACATCGGTTGTCGAAATTGGACCGACCGAAGCCATGGGCAAAGTGGACCTCCAAGCGAAGAAGACGGATGAGCCCGGCTCTGTAGGGTCCAACTCGTCGTCGGACATGGAGATGCAGAGGTGCCTCAAAGCTGAGTTTGCGGAGGTGTTCCGGGTTCACAGGTGTCTGCGCTTTAGGCCTCCAAGTCATGCAATGACACGTTGCGGTTAGAGTAGCTCTGGAGCTTTGCTACAAGAAAGCTGTGCAGTCCTGCACCCGCAGCAGAGGCCACAACTCCTTACCGGCTTTGCCGCAATTTCGACTTCGCATCACTAGATCCATCGTGAAAGACCCCTCGTCGTAGCACATCTTGCACGCACCAGACAGTACACTCCAGACTTTGCCTCGTCAGCCACAAAGCAGTACCAGCTGCCAGCGTGAGCAGCACGTGCAGTCCAGAAATAGCACCAGTGCAGGCAGTGCATCCATGCTTTTGTCTAGCCACAGCCTCGAGGGTCAACAGCTGAGTCCAGTTTGCTAGTAAAGCCTGCGGACCAGGTGGGATTGATAGCCTTGGGATGTCCTGCATTCAGGTTCCGCAAATTCGTGGAGCGAGATCCGGACTCTTTCGAGGCCGCCATAAAAATTTTCAGGACCCGTGTCTAAACTGCGGGATGAGTTTCCGTATTGGTTGCAGAACGCCTGGCATTGAGGGTGGGCCGTGTATCCCCCAAGGACCTCGCACACACTGTGTTCCCAAGCAAACATCCTCCCTTCCTTGGAGGATGAAAATGGCCATGGCTCAGGCGCAGGAGGACCGTGGCTCGACACAGCCTCCGCCGCCTCTGCCTGAAGATGGGGATCGCTCAGCAGCCCGGGATGGCAATGGCAATAACGCTTTGGGCTAATAAGGTTCACACAGCGCGAAGTCTGTGTCAGAATGCTGATTTCTTGCCAAGAGGAAGGAGTGCCCGTAGTTTCGCTTCCCAGGGCGAAGCATTTCGGGAGAGGGTACCTGGGCGACAACGTTGCCATTTTTTTGAAGGTATGATTCCATGTGTTGGTTCCGGTTCCAAAAAGGGGCCACAGAGGCCACGACAATCTTCGTTGTCTGCGTTGAAAGGATGTTATGCTGGTTGTATGCAGGATTGAAGGGATGTAGGACTGGTTTTGAGAAGGGTCCCCAAGACCCTCAGGCCCCAACTCCCAAGGCCTCCACAGTTGAGCCTCCACAGCCGAAACTTTCAATGAGAAAACACCAGAAGCAGAGAAATGAGGATGGGTAAGCCCTACTGCAGTATTGCACTGTGCTCTTCAATCAAGGGGTGCCTACTGCAATTCCCCTATAGTGTACGTGCTTCTAATCTTTCGTGCACGTTGCCTCCTGCAGTTGCATAGCTTTCGCACGGGCAAAGACGAACCACACAGTCCAGGGCCTGTCATCGGAGGGTTTGCAGCCAGTGAGCAGGTTATGGCGATGCTGGACGCGATGAGGAAGGCGAAAACGACAAGTGCAGCAGTTAACACGCCAAACAAGCTGGGCGCAGATGTGAGTTCATTACGTTGCAGCGTGCACCGCTGCACGACGCTTACCATCCAGCTGTGACTTGTCGCACGGCTGGATATTTGTTTCAAAGCAAAGGCACTATGTCATTTAAGGGTGGCAGCTAGTTGCCGCATCTCACAGACCCCATGTACAGAGGATTGGCTCCAATCATTTTAGTTGAGCGAGCACCGGTGAGAGACAAGTGTTTGCGTCGAGGTCACAGTGGCAGATGTGCAAGTCCTGACTGGACTCGTTTGACTATTCTGTTTGACTATTCTCTAGCCAGAGTGTAAACTTAGTATAAACTACGGCATGGGCCGTATCTTATCTCGCCACTGCCTCGAGACACAGTGAGCTCTGAAATCATGCTTTTGCATCCTCCAGGCCGGCGGTGATGGCACAGACTGTATAAAGTCTACCGGCGGCTGGGTATCTTGGGCTGCTCGTGCACACATGTCTAGGTCGAAGGATTCCGAGCACTCTACCTTAGCAGGGCAGCCCTCCCTGGCGCGCCGGTTCAGATCCCGTTTGCAGAGCTAAACCCTAAATCGCCCACTCTGGCGACCGCCGGATGTGCGTAGGTTTTTGGGAGAGACTGGGAAGGAAAGATGCCCCCCACGACGGGCTCGAAAGCAGCGAAGTCGAATGTCCAGTATGTCCAGTATGTATGCTTTTTTTCGGCAGAATTGATGCCCCGTTTCTCACAGGCCGGCAAGGTGTGACGACCTGCTGAAGTCTGCAGCCACCTGGCGAATCCGCACCATGCACTCGGGCTGCGAACCTTTGCGAGCCTTTGGGATTGAAGCCATCTGAGACGGCGTCGTCCACCTGGCAGCCGTTGAACAGTCGCTGCGCAGAAGCCCAGTCCGAGGCATGACAGGAACATGACTCTTGGTGTGCGATCGCTGCTGTGGCCGAATCCCGCCACGCACGATCGATTGATTCGATGGTTTCACAGAATTCTTGAGCTGCTGACCACCCTTCCAACGACAGCACGCCGTGGAGAGAGCAGACAACACAAGCATGGGGAAGCCTACAGCCACGTCACCCAATTCAAGCTTTGATTTAAACCACCGCGCTGCCCATTCTGCATGTTGCGTTGTCTTGCCCTATCTCATCAAATGCCAAAGCGGCTTGGGATGACGACTCATCGCGCCAGGAGGTGGCTCTGACACTCTCCGGGCTTGTTGGCACCTAAGATCACCTCTGCGAGACATCCCCAGATCCCCCAGTTGGCGCCTTAGTCAACACT